TCGAAGTAAATATTTTAACTGCATTGTCGTTTTGGTATAGCCCACATATAAAGGTACCCCCCAATATTCGGTATTTTGGTGAGTTAAGCGATATTATTCACCAAAAATATTTAAAATTAGGTATTTGATGTTCATAATAGATAGCACAGTCAATGACAGAAAATTGTTAGTGCAGGTCCTCGTCTTCATATGGCCTCCATATAACGGCACCTCCCGATATTCGGTATTTTAATGATTTTAGCGACATTGTTCACTGGAATTGTTTCAAATTTAGTATTTGAAGTTCGTAATTGATATTACAGTCAATGACAGAAAATTATCTGTGCAGGTTCACGTCTTCGTATGGTCCCCCATATAACGGCACCTTCCGATATTCGGTATTTTGATGATTTTAGCTACATTATTCACTGAAATTGTTTCAAAATTGGCATTAGATGTTCGTAGCGGATACTACAGCCTATGGCGGAAAATTGTCTGTGCAGGTCCACGTTTTGGTATAGCCTCCATATAATGGTACCTCCATATCTTTGGCATTTTAATGATTTTAGCGATATTATTCACCGGAATTGTTTCAAATTTGGTATTTGAAGTTCGTAATGGATGCAAAAAACAAACGAAAATTTGAGTCAAATCGGCCAAGCAGTTCTCAGCAGATGTATTACTATACTTTTTCAAACTTTATACATGTAGCTTTAAATAAGTATGTATGGCCCTAAACAGAGGGAGAGTCAATAGAACGTCATATACTAACTACGAAACTGATATCTTCATTATTTTGGCAAATATTAAGATTTTAAGATTTTCTTTACATAAAAACCTAACTCGGGGTAGGACGAACATTTAAATATATATATATATATATATATATATATATATATATATATATATATATATATATATATATATATATATATATATATATATATGTGTCGAGCCGTTCTCAACTGATTCAATTACAAACAAACAACAATTGATTTGTTTTATAGATTAAAGAGTAGGCTTGGTCAGTTCCAAGTAAGTACTTAGTATTGCATGAAAGGCCAACAGTATGTCGTGTAATAATTTTCAAACCGATATCTTCATAATTTTGGCAAATATAAGCATTTTAGATAAATCGAAATGGTGGGCGTGAAAGTAGGCGTAGTCAATATTTTTTTCTTTAAAAACCTAACTCGGGTTATGACGAACGTTTGTACAAAAAATTATGCAAATCGGCCCAGCAGTTCTGAACTGATTCCATTACCAACGAACAACAATTGATTTTTATATATATATAGATTTTATTCTATCTATATCCACACCAATATCTACATTAGAATATAAACAATTGAAAACAACACTCATTTTACTGACATGGTCACCCATCGCATAGTTTGAGCGATGTAGGGTTAGGTTCTATGATGCGCGGTTGCTTAGCAACCGCTCCACTCGGAGACCTGCTGGTCCATTGTGATCATCCTGATAGAGTGAAAATAAAGAAATAAAGAGAGAAGGAAAAGGCTTATGTTAGAAGGATGTTGTTACGAGCGAGTCAGTACTGTAAACATGATCAACCATTTATAAACGACAATCTAGAATACATGGCATGTTCTACTTTTTACTTGGCTAGCTCTGCCGTGGCGAGTTCACTGTATCCCCGGGTTATCGCTTTGTAACATAGGAGTTTTTCATAATAAATCAAAACCACATCAATAAACAAAGAACAAAAAACACATAAAGTTGGCCTGGGAAAACTAACATCATCAACTCATTTGTGACTGCTGTAGTTGTCACATGGAGTGCATTTTTCTTCGCCCTAAAAGTACGCACGTGGTAACGTACACACTTACCATTTTACCGTTGCCTCAAAATACCGTTACACCGCGCAGCACATGGTCCAACTACTCTCTCCCCAAAATAATATTAGCTTAGATGTTCATTTTTAATTATACAAAAAATTTATTATTACTAATAGTATTACTTATATAATACATTCATACTTAATACCTACTTACGAACTAATTCTTAAAACTAAATCTGCCATTAGAGTTGTTGTTGATGACTGATGATTGTCAACCTGATTGTTGCTGTTATTTGCTGATTTTCCTCTTTGTTGGTTTTGCATTTGGTTGATATATTTTTAAACTGTTGTAATTGATGTTGTTTTTAGTTATTTTATTCTCGTAACGATTTTAGTTTTTCATTTGTAGTTTAGTAAGATTCATTATTATAATTAAATTATTATTAAAGGGTTTTTTTATTTCGGTCATTATTATGTAAGACTTTTAAATTAATTCATTGTGGTTTCATGTTGTTATTTGAAGTGGGTTGATTATTTGTAATTGCTTGTCTTTTTTTTATTATGTCAGGATTGGTTTCAAACTTGTTACCATTGAATTTTGTATTAAATAAACTTGTTGTAATAAATTTATAAAACAGTTAATAGATTTTTTTCTCACAAACAACGGCTCATTAAAATTATTTCCTTCATCATTCCATGATCTATTTTCTTTATTATTAATGCTTTTGTGATCTTTTTATTCTTTGTTAATGCATTTGTACATAACAATCTTATAGCCAAACATTCTGATATTGGTTCTGTTATTTCATTATTATAATTTTTTTTACTTGCAAAAACTGTAACTTTATTTTAGATTTCGTCTTTTAGTTTGCCAAAACAGTACACGATTCTTCTCATTTTAATTTAGTATTCTATATAGTTTGCCAAAACTGTAAACGATTCCTTTCATTTTAATTTAGTTTTCGTTTTTAATTTTCCAAAAACGGTACACTATTCTTTTAATTTTAGTCTAGTTTTCAGGTTTTTATTTGCAAACTGTACACTATTCTTTTAAGTCTAAAACATTCAATATTTTAGTTTTGATCTTCTCACACTTCAACTTTTCCTTAAGACTCGCACTGACCAACTGCACGATCTTGTTTTTACATTCTTTCTAACTACCAAAAGAACAAACACACACACATGTGCAGAAGCAATAGAATGCAAAACTAACGGCAATAAATTCTTTTGGCAATGAGAAAAAAAACCCATGGATTAGCCAATCAAATCCTGGCATAGTATACTAGGTCAATGCACATGCAGCGTTTTTGTGTAGTTTTAGCGTTTTTTGTGCCGTTTTAGCGTTTTTTGCTGTAAGGGAAAATGATCGAAAACAAATCCCTAACAAAGTATACACGAAGAATTAATCGTGTTGTCTTTAGCCATTTTAGTCTTTTAGCTTACTGAAGAATAATTGACGGCTCAGTGTGGGATAGTGAAGACAGATCATGCAGAGTTTGCTTACCCGTGAGCCTCAGTCTGACTCTAAAAAGAGTTGGACATTGACAGAGTAAGTGTTCCGCAGTTCCTATCTCTTCTTCGTCTTGACAAAGCCTATAACAGTCAGTATCGTCGCCCCCCACTTGGAAGTCATGGCCCTAATATTACAGTGACCTGTAATTAAGCCTATTACAAGTTTCAGGTCCGATTTCGCCATGGAAATGAGTGATAGAGATCTCCTTTCGGAGATTACCGGTCAAATTTTTTGGAAGCAATACAGTCTCTTGCATTTTGCCAGTTATGCTGAAATATTCTGTGTCTGTGTATAATCTGGAAGAAGTGACACAAGGGTGGTTTTACCGAGCTCTCAATCTCTAGAACAGTTGACTCGGAGCCACTTCTTGCTAATTCATCCGCAGCTTCATTTCCAGAGATGTTGCTATGACCAGGAACCCAACAAAACTTAATAAAGGACATCACTTTTTCCAGGCAATCCTGCACTCCAGGACTGCCATAGATTTGATGATGGATGAATTTAGCGCTTTTAGGACCGCTTGACTATCGACATATACAGTCACTGGTCCATCCAGTTCAACTGTTCCATTCATCAGCAATTCTACAGATTTCTGCCTGGAATACGCTACAATCTTTATTGAGTTTGAATGAATTCCGCATATTTAGGCTTTCGCAGAAAACACCTGTACCAGTTCCACTTTCCATCTTAGAGCCGTCGGTAAAGATAGCTATACCCCTGAAAGGTGGGTGTGTTGTGGGTCCAAGTGTCTCTTGTAGGTATGTGGATGTCCAGTGTTTCGAAGTCTAGCCTAGGTGATATATAGTCACTAGTTAAAACCCGACCTCCTAAATTTTCCAAATAATTCATTATGACCGAATGTCCTTGGGTCTCAGTGCAAATCTCGCTGCTTGTTTCTCTACAAATAAGGGTTTCGAGTAGTAATTGATTTTTTACTTTCTTTGTTTATATTGTTACATTCATAAGTAACTTACGTGGGGCTCAGAAATCGTAAACAGTTATATTCATAAGTAACATTAGAAATATTAGATGTTTGTGCTCCCAAGGCTGGGGCATTTCTCTATTTTTACAATTTCATATGATATATGGCTCGGTGTAATATAGTAAGACAAGCGCATATTAATACATGCGAAAAAAATATTATTCCGGGGAAAATTGGCCTAGAATCAAGAAAATAGTTTATAGTAGGAGTATACCAAAAATTTGACCCATTTGAGCAGTTCTCTGCAGGGATGTTTCTTACAAATTCGGGACACAAACTGCCAATTTACGGAAAATTCGGTTTAAAATTGAGACTAAAACGCCCAGAACACCTTAAATCTGTCAGTACAATTATATGGGGTCTATAACGAAACGTTGATCTTTATGACCCATTCTCAACACCAAAAATCCTACGGATACATACATCTGTGTGAATACCTATCAACCTTCCTCGGAAAATAGAGTAATTTCTACAGACGGACAAGACTAAATGGATATGCAATTGTATGTATATCAAGACGTTATAAATAATATTATTTAAGATGTGCAAAAGAAGCTAACTGAACGTTGGCTAAATGAATAGAGGGAATATATTTTAAATTATTCTCTCATTATTCACTTCCTAGAGAATCAAAACGACTAAAAAAATTGGTCACTGATACATATTAAAAAGTAACTGTTACTTTGAAGCATAATAGTTAATTTACTAATTTAATGTCTTCATAGGTGAACTCATGACAACTGAAAGAAAGCTTGATCGTGAAAATCAAGTAGAACATATATTGGAGGTAAGATTTAATAATATTTTAATAAGAAACATTTTAATAAGTACTAATAAAATTAAATTTTTAGGTTCGCATCTCTGATAATGGTTTTCCATCTCTATATTCAACCACCCGTGTTGTTGTTTCGGTCAAAGATATCAACGACAACAGCCCACAGTTTGAACAACGTTTCTATAAAATCCAAATTCCTTCTACTTCAGATATAAATGTTCCTATATTTCAGGTAATTTGTCCAATTCCGCTCTTTCCTCTCCACTAATAATCTTTTTCTAGATTCTCGCCACTGATATTGATATTGGAGAAAATGGACGAATTTCTTATAATATTAAATCCGGCAAAGGAAAAAACAAATTTCGTATTGATGCCGACACTGGTTTAATTTACGCCACTAAGCCATTAGAAATGGAAAGTGAATATGAATTAATTATTAAAGCAGAAGATCATGGAAGTCCCAAGAAAAGTCAAACAGCTAGATTAAACGTATTGGTTATACCGATTTTAGAACAATCAAAGGCTCCACCTAGCATAAAAACAACAAATAGTTTAGTTGAAGTCACAGAAAGCGACAAAGCTGGATTTTTGGTAACTCTTATACAAGCTTCTGACGAAGACAGTGAACATCTTTGGTATAACATTAGTGGTAAGTATGAAATGGTTACATTTATTTATATACAAGATATTTCATAAAAGTTATATTTAAATAGGTGTAATTACATTATTACAAAAAAGTTCTTGTTGAAACTAATGTCCTGATTTAAATATTATTATTATGAACTAAGATCGTCTGCATACAGATCTTCCCCTAAAATATCTGAGACATACATACACATACAGAACATAGACAATACAATATTTTTATTTAGCTATTCTAAGAAACGTAATAGACAATTGCCAGTTGGTGTGAAAATTTTCCTTGTGAAAGTACCCCTGGGAAATTAATAATAATGAGGTTGTCACCGCATCTCAGGGTTTTCGCTCCAATGTTAACAGCACACTTTTCAGCCGTGAAGGAACCATCAGTAAACAATATCGTTTGGTAGCAAATGCTCCAATTATTGTATTTCTTCATGTTTTTACCATTTTCTACGGATATTACAGATAACTGTTACTAAGACACAGCCTACTGTTCTTTGTAAAGTTTGCAACTGCAATTGCATACTGTTTGTGGAAATATTGATAAGGGGAAAATCCTTTGTTTCCATTACAGCAAAATTGAGTTCATGCATTGCTGAAATGAGAACTGACATCAGACAATGTAACGAAAATGTTCGTGATTGTTGATTTTTCTGCCTTGGGTGCAGCATATCCCGAAATGCCTGTTCCGAATACTTTGGAGAAAACACCGGACGTTGGTTATCTTCGGTTTGTCAGAACATCATCCCCCATAGATCTGTTTCGGTGCACTTTTGAAACCGTTCCGGATTTAGTCGGTTACGATGCTGCAGCGAAATGCATATATTATGCGACGTGCTGCAGCACCGTAGTGAATCCACGTCTTTGTCATCTGCTTCTGAGTCTTCGTCGGAGTACGGAACTCCACCGCACCTTACGCCACGTGTTGCTGTACAATGTGCATGTTTCTTGCAATTTACTTGCAACGGACTCCAAGGCAAAATGGATAAGATAGTGGAATTTATGAATCGGAGGAATATTAAGATCGTAACGCGGAAGGAAACCAAGCTGAATGCAAATTGCAGCCTATTGAGAAAGGATCGCACCAGAAGTGGATGTTGGGGATTAGCGTTTCTGTTACAAAATGCTACCCAATGCAGGCCTATCTCGCTTTAGCTAGTCTCTAGTGACTTATAAGAAGAGAGTGTCACAGTTCGCCAGGCATAACCATATTGTCACCCGGTATAATAAATGACGTGACTTGGCAACCCGTCTTTTCTCTTGGTTCAGACCATCGGATAATCGTCTCCATAAGCAGATCGCCCGATTTCATAACCTCTGAACGCCGCTCTTTCCATAACCATGGGATGCAGAAAAGGTTTGTCGAATACCCAAAAAAAGACCAAATTTCCCAGCAGAGACAGCGGAACTAGCAAATGAGCGTGATGATATCCGCCGTTCCAACCCTACTGATCCTACAATCAGTGAATTAACAGTGGAAGTCAGATGGTTGGAAAAGAATCACAAGAGGAAAATTTGGCTAGACCAACTAAGGTGTTGCAATATTGGTGTTGCAATGAGTAAGCTGTGGGTAACTGTTAAGTCGCTTTTAAACTCCGGAAAAAAATAAAATGATAGAACCTCAGTCACTTTTAACGACAATTTGTCGAGCATCCCGAGAACGTCGTATCAGATGTCTTCCCGCCGAAAAGGCAGTTAGTTTTTTAGATCCTCTGTGATAAGAAAATGTGAATCACTTTTTATTGAAGTTATGTTTGGTGATGAAAAGGTATTGTTTGGTGTTGTGTACTGTCTCCTCCGGGTGACGTTAATCTATATATATAAAAATCAATTTTTGTTTGTTGGTAACGGAATCAGTTGGAAACGGCTGGACTGATTTGCATAATTTTTTGTACAAACGTTCGTCATACCCCGAGTTAGGTTTTAAGGAAAAAAAATATTGACCACGCCTCCTTTTACGCCCATTATTACGATTTATCTAAAATCTTTATATTTGCCAAAATAGTGAAGATATCGGTTTGAGAATTATTACACGAGATGCTGTTGGCTTTCCATCTTACCCTAAGTACTTATTTAGGGGCTGAGAAACGCGCCTACTTTTAAATCTATCTCTCTATTTGTAGAAGAAAGTTGTGTTAGTTACTACACTTATAACATAAAGACCGCCGGTCTAATTTTAACGATTTAGACAAATTCGTATTTGCCTCTTGGCCGTAAGGAATAAAATTCAAAAAAATCGCGTAAAAATGTGAAATTTGAACATTTTCATTTTGACCTTTAAAATGTACAATAGTAATGTTTTATATTGCATATTTTTTCCATTTTGACTTACTATTTTCGAATTTACATTTGTAGTGTTTTTTTTTTTTTTTTTAATTCTAATATTATGTGTAGGTTTTTTTGGGTAGTATAAAGCCACAACGGATAAAACTGTTATTTATAGATTTTATGTATTTATTCGTAATACCCAATAAATACATAAAATCTATAAATAACAATTTTATCCGTTGTCGCTTTATATGAAAATTCTAAAATCGGGAAAAATAGACAATTTTTCAATGGAATCGAATTTCAAAATAATAGTACATTCCACCGACAAACTTCGTAAGGAAAATTTGCCGCAAAAAAATCAGCGAACCAGTTGAAGATTATTTTTCTTTTTTCTATATTGAAGTGTACATTTTTTTTATTGGTTTGAATTCTGAATGAATAATATTAAAAATGAAATGAGGGCGCAATACGATGTTAAATGCTTCCTACTCCAGGACCTACATCGTGCTTCAGCTGGAAAATGCGAACACATTTAAACAAACAAAAATGACCACAGAAGCGTTATGGGGTTAATTTCAAAAAGTGAACCTGCTTCTTTCATATGACAATAAATTGTCAAATGAGAACACAAAATGCAAAATACATTGGGACTGCAATCAGTCAAATACCGACTATAAAGAACGCAGAATAGAAATTCTACCTAAACATTCAAGATACCTTTAATCGCTTTGGCAGGTCATGATATGGATCATAACCCCTGATAACGGAACAACCCGATTTCAAGTATATTCTACAATTTAACCATATTTTTCGTACTAATTTTAGCTTATGTTGATAATTTAAGAAGAAACCATCTTTGCAAAAAGTTATCACGTTTTGGTATCACCAAAGGGGGAAGAAAACCTCTTCTTATAAATTTTTATTTTTCGGAAAAGTGCGCATCTTAGTCTTGAGGCTACCTGGGGTAGAAGATCATCTTACAGATAATTATCCTCATAGGAATTTATTTAAGTATAGTCCCCACATTAGTATACCCCCAAGTCCACTTTCCCAACCAATGTGTGGTCAGAAAAGAAAATTTGGTATTCTATTGAATTTGTAACCCCCCAAGAGAATATTGGTTGGGAACGTAGATTTGGTTGTACGTCTATATGAAATAAACTCCGAAATGTCAATCTGGGACTCATTCAGTCGGAAATTGTGGCAGAAACATGAAAAAAATACGAAATTATAAAGTAACTTTATTGGATCTCCACCGCACAATTTAAATGACAAACAATTAATGCCCCTCTTCGGTAATCGGAGCAAAAGAGTAATTTCTTTGGCTATTCTGACAAGTATGAGGTGGACAAAACTGAATACCACGCAGTACGGGATTTTAAACGTTGGAAATACAAATTTCAAATTATAGCTCATTTGAATGTTTTTTACAATATCAAAAATTGAGCTGAATTTTCACATGGGGCTATTATAGATGTTCTTTATCATATAGGTATTTAACACTCAAATTAAAGCCTATAGCTGAAAAATAAGATCAGGCTATTCAAAATATCTAAAACCGACGGTAATTATAATTTTTGCCATGAATATTAATTTATATTTAGTCATGGAGTCATTACTCATAATCAAGTCATTACTTATAATCAAAATTGGAGTAATTATAATGGTGTCATTACTTATAATCAAAATTGTGCCGCCTACATAAGTCAGATCTGTGATTTATTATGCTTTAAAGATTGAAACTACGGGCCGGCAACGCGGACCGGGCCAGCTAGTGCTTTTATAGATATTTATAGCAATTTATTTTTGGAGTATTCAAAAATTGTAAAAGAAGGGATTCTAAAGTTAATTTACTTGATCCGCATAAATCTATATCTGTCCGATCAGCCTGTTTCCGTTAAGCTTGTCAGTTTTGCATAATTTCAAACCTACTCACTATAATGCTATACACCGTATGTCTTCTTTACTTGATTTTATGTTGATAAATGATTGTAATATCATAATCTGTCTGATCAGTTAATATGTGTTGAAGAGTGATATGAACTCCCAAAATAACACTTTGCTATATGAAATATTGGAACATCAATATACCTTTGTATTCTATGTTGTTTATTGAAAAAATAAAATTACTTACTTCCGTTGAAACCTTTAATACAATAACAGGTTATGGGCCTCCCCTTCCGCGTATAATTTGTTTTCTTATGTGATTTCGCGTATAGAAAAAAAGGATTAAACAATGTGACCAATATGTAGATGGAAAAGCTTCGTGGAAGCGAGAATTTTGAAGATTGGAAATTTGCAGTTGAGGCATTTTTTCAAATGAAAGGCCTTTGGAGTTCCATCCAGGGAACAGAAGAAAAGGAAGACAAGCTAATCCAAGCCAAAGCTGAACTGATATTACTGGTGGACAAAGCGGTGTATCCCCACATACGTGAGTGCAAAAGTGCGAAAGAAATATGGACAACATTACAGAGTACGTGAATGAAATAATCAATTCAGCACACAAGCTAAGAAGAATGGATTGGTTCCATGCTTCTGGCTGGATTACCCGATGAATAAAGGCCAATGTTTATGGGAATACAAAGTTCCAGTATTAAAATCACGGGTGATTCAATCAAATTGAAATTGCTTCAAGACATAAAAAGGACCTAAATGCTACAGCTGTAATCAGTATGGACACATAGCTGCAAAATGCCCATGCAAAAATTCAAAAGGCGATTCTAAGAAGAACGTTGA